CCAAATGAATTAGAGTAAAGTGTATTGTCGTGTCATTCCATTCAGTCAAGTTTTATTAGTGTCCTTGAACGGAAAGGGTTGACAATTTTCTAAAGAAAAAAAAAATTTTTAAAGAATGTATGTTTGAATTACAATGACACATTGGTACTATCCGTACATATATGTACGTTATTTGTTAACTTATGTACTATATATGCAAATATTATTGTTATTAGAATAATTTCATAAATAATAAACTTTTAAGATTTTATTAAAACTTTTTATTTCTTCCTTTCCATTTTTTTCTTCTCCGTACTTTTTTTTTCCTTTTTCTTTCTTTTTTCTTAAATAAAATTTTATCCAAATATAACAATTATGATTATGACATATATAACAATTATGTAATTGTTAGAAAAAAGAATGAAAAAAAACCAATACCATTAGCTAACCGAATCATTATAGTAATGTATTGAATCATGCAATCCGGAAAACCGGATGTGATTTAATTTCTAATACTTTTTACTTTTGCATTTCTAAATGTCTATAATACGTTTTCTTCATCGATGAAGTATTGCTTTGAAATTAATGATTTTAATTTATAGAAAAGAAAAATAAACAAATTTTAGGGATGAAATATGGCATAATTAATTTGCCAAATATTCAAAACTTCTTAATGGTATCATGTGAAAATAATTTGGATAATTATCATTTCTCTTCAAGATTTTTCAATTTCAAATGATGGATTTGAATTTGCAACTTTTTATTGTCTTAATTACATTTCGAAATTATGTTGCAATTCCTATAGCACAAGAATTACAGCAACAATATTATGTTAATGGTAAATTGTAATTTCATTGATTATTATCATTTGTTACTTAATCATAATTATATAATTATTACTTTAAATTGTAAACTTTTTGAATAACTAAGTCAGTTGCGCATTATAAAGCATATGTTTTAATCAGAATTCATAAATTAAATTTCTTAATTATCACATAGCATAGTAATTATCAATCATACAATTATCATGTTGCAGATAACATGATAATTGCATGATTGTCATTTTAAATTAATAATTTTTATTACAAATTAATATCTTGTAAATCAATCCATTATTAAATTTTATAGTATAAGATATTGTAAAAAAAGAAATATGAATGATTTACTAATTTTATAATGTAAATATTGTAAATATAATGATAAATTTTTAATTAACAATTTTCAAATCAATATGAATCTTTTAAATCAATATTAACATCTTATATGAATTTTGCAAATCAATATTAACATTATCATCTTATGAAATTGAATATGATTCATTAATAATAATACTTTATATACCAATGTTTTATGAAATTTTAAATAAATTTAAAATTTTGTGAAATTTTGAGATATTTTTCAATGAGTAAAAAAATTTATTTATTTATTTATTTTTTCAAATTTATAGTAACACCAACATGCGAACAGCAATCGATTAAAGTGATTTTGACATTTAATGGTGATGATTGGCCAGAAGGGCAATTTATGGATTGGATTGTTGTTGGGACAAATAATCGGGCAGAATGTCGCCTAAAGGGAAATGGTGAATTGCAATATGTCATCGAGCTTGCAGTCTTCAATGATCCATGCCAAACACAAATGGTAAATAATTTGAATTCAAAAAAAAAAAATTTAAATGAATCATTTTGTGAACTTATTTATCAATGTTATTGGCATACAGTAAGTATTATTATCATCCGAAAATATACTTTGCTGAATTATCGGATGGCTTCAAAGTCCGGAATTGTTAGAAAGTTTCAGAAATTTTGATGAAATTTCAATGGATCAATAAATACTGGACTGCATACACGAAGTATTTCGAAGGCTTTAAATAACTTTTGCCATATTTTGATGCCCAAAAGTCAAAATGATTTTAGTCCAAACTTGAAGTGATTATGCGAATTTCAAGCTTAAATTAAATTTTGATTAGCATAGAAAGAAAATTTAATTTTCTTTAGAAAGCTATGACATTTTCTTTATAAGGTGACAAAAAAAATTTCTGATTAATAATTGTTGTCTGTTAGAGGAAAACTGTTGTTGTCAAATTTTTGCCACTAATTTCCAGAGCACTCTTTTTTTTCCTTCTCTTTTCAAAAAATGAAATGGAAATTTGACCGCAATTCATTTCCTTCCAGTTTGTGTCGCAATTTGAAATTTTCATGACCTAATTTCTGGAAATAGGGATCAACAAGAGAAATGATGAAAGGAAGATCAGCGAAAAAGCATAAAAGTGTCAAAAAGCTTCCGGTATTAAAATCCGGAAATTTTGTGCTTGATAATATGTGCAGAATAAAAAAAAAAGAGAAATATTAGCTACCTATGAGGTATTACTGTGAAGGAAATAATTAAGAGAGAAGTAGATGAATCTAATTTAGATTCCGGAAATATATGTATGTGTCACCATAATTATCACATTAATGATAAGGCAATGATAAGGGCGAAATGATAAGGCAATGAGAAAGTTTTTAAAAGCAAATGGTGACATTGTTGTTTTGATAATTAATTGGTTCTAATCACTTTATTTACAACAGATAAATTGAAACGGATAAAAAAAAACAATTAATTTAGACTTACCTATAGCTTTCATCCGGAACCTTAAAAAATTTCACCGTATCCTTAAAAAATTTCATTGAAGAATTTTCAAGATATACTCTTGAAAATTTTCTTTTTTATTTCCGTTATCTCTCAATCATCATTATTCAAATTTTAGCCTTCTACCGGAGTATTTCAAAATCGAATTCGAATTGGAAAAAATCCAGCTGTAATTTTGTTTGGTGATAAGACATTTATCATTAAATGTACATATGGATTACCGGAAATAAGTCAACTTGATATTCCACCAATTAATCCGTCATTTAATGCTGTCACTTTAACGTTAGTCTTTTCCTTTTTTCTGTATATTTGTTTATTTATACGATCACTTTTCAAAAATTTTACATAATTTTTCTTTTGTCTCTTAAAAATACCATCAAATAATAAATATTAATTTTGATAATTAATTACTATAAATTTTAATCGATCATAATTTTTTTTTTTTAGAGATTTACCAACAAATTCAATACAAGATGAATCATTAAATACTCTTGAATTACCAATATCATCAAATGAAACAAGTGGCCAAATTGAAGAAAGTCGAGATATGGTTGATAATGATGATAACACAATCATATCATGGCCAATACTTTTCTCTATTATTGCTGGCTTATTTGTTGCTATTCTCATCCTTATGTTTGCTTTTATTTGTTTTCGATGGAAAATTGAAAGTAAGCCAAGAGATTTGCAAGGACAAAATACTTCATCGAATGGTTTGTTTGTTGAAAAAATTGAAAAGTCTTTGAAAAAAGAAAAAAAACGCTGAAATTTCACAATAAAATTACTATAAGATTTTTTGAATTATTTAAAAAAATTTTTAAAAAAATTAATAAATAGAAATGAGCAATTAAACTCAATTTCTGACTAATATGAAAAAATCAAACATTAATTAATCAAACATCAGCTAATTAATTAAACATCAACATCAAACATTAATTTTTTATCACTAAAAAAAATTTTTTTTGTTTTGTAAAAACATTTGCCTTTAAATAAAAATGAGTAATTAAAATTTGTTAAAATAAAAGAAAATAAATAAAAAATAAATAAAACAAAAAATTTGTTGTTAATAAGTAAAAATAAATAAATAAATTTATTCATCAATTAGTTTTTTTGTTTGTTCGTTTTAGTATTAAATATGGTTTTAAAATAGTTCTTTTTGAAATACATTAATAAAAATCATTTTTAATTAATGGTTATCTTGCGATATTGAAATTGAAAATTATTATTGTTACATTAATTTATCTACAATTTCTAATTATTCTATTTTAAATTTCAAATTTAGAAAGTCAATGCTTCATTGATCGTTTTTAATTCGTTTCCATTTATTTGTCTTATTTTTGTTTTTGAATAAAATGAATAGATAATCCAATAATTATTATTGACTGATATAATCTGATCAAAAAAAAAAACTGTTGATAAACTAGAAATGAAACGGAATATATCTTATATAAGTTAAAAAAAACGAAAAAATAAATAAATTTTTATTTTTTAAAAAATAAATACTAACGAAAAGAGACACAACAGATAAATTTGTTAAATTTTAACAAACTGATTGAAATAATTTGCAATTTATTATTATTGACAATATTTTAGGTGGGCAAGTTTCTTTTTTTCGCGTATTTTTTTGATGTTTAAACTTGCATAAATAATTTTACAATTAATTATCTTACCAGAAAATAAGTTTGATGGTCAAGTAGTTTTAATTTCCAATTAATTTATTGTTTCATTTGTCCTCCTTCTTCTTTTTCTTGCCTTCACTTTTTTGCTCTAAAATTATTAAATTATTTTTTTTAATCAATAAATTTTATATTATATATCTTAATAATCTGTTATCTCCTAATTTAATTAAATATTTATTTTTTTTTAAATTTTTCTAATTAATAAATGCATTATGTTGGATGGATGACGTTTTAAAGATTGTAATTTGACGAAATTTATAAAATATAGAATGAAACCATTGTCATTGTTGTGTTAATTTTTTTTTAAAGATTTTAATAATTTACTTCAAAAATTTGATGATGGATTTAATTACTTATTGATTTATTAATTTTCAATATAGGATATTATATATTGTATTTTTTCAGTAGAATATTTTATATTATGTATATGATGAAAACAAATACATACTATAAAATTATATTTTCCTGTAGGAAAAATGTCTTTTAAAAGTTTTAAAAAGATTTATTTTAATTATAAATGGGGTGTGTTGATCAATGCACTAAAGTAAATTTTCAAATGTATTTAATAATTTGCTTATTAGCATACCTAAATAGCATTATCAATAATCTCTCATTTAGGTATTACAATTAGTAAATTTGGCATTAGTGATCTTTGGTGGAATGACAAGAATAATGTCAAATCAAAGCAATTGTCAAGCGTTCAAACAACAAATGAACGGTTATGTATTATCGAATGAAAATGACATTTCTCAAAAACTTATCTTAATGAAGCACATTTTTTAAGCGTTTATACTGATTGAAAATGAATTCATATTCATATTGGAAAAACTCGAATTTAAAATCAAAGCTGGGATTGAAGGATAGTAATAGAATTGAAATTATTTCATTAATTGGCATATAATTGCTGCAAAATTTGATATAAAAAAATTATTCAAATTTCATTTTTTCCTCAATTTTTTGTTATTTCAACGTTTTGACTTTTGAGTTTTAAATCAAATTCAAGTTTCTTTTTTCAATTTAAGTTTTGACTTTTCGCTTCTATTCTAGTTCTTCTGCAACAGCTCAAAGTACGGTACATATGAATTCATCATTATCATCACATTCATCAATGGGTTCAGAACGGAATTTGCGAAATGCTTCAACGAGAAGTTATTCTCAACAACAGTCTACAACAACAGATTCCGGAATTACTGTTACGGAAGATCTACCACATTGTTATTCGGAATGGCGAAGTCGTATTCTGGCTAATTTATCTAACAAACATACGAATAATAAAAATGTTTGTAATATTAATAATAATTGTAAACAGTAACTTAATAGCAAATTAATAGATTAACTCACAAATAAATAATTAATTATTCTTTTTGATTATTCTTTTCGATTATTAATTATTCTTTTTTCTTTTTAATTAATAGCTTAAGTTCTTGAAATATCGTCAAAATTTATAGCAATAAATATTATCATCTTCTGTCTATTACTAACTATTAATTTATAATTTACAAACAAAAACGAAAACGATAAGCAATGAATTTTTATTCAAATTTAATTAAAATAATTATTGCTTTAGAAAGGCTATTAGTCAATTTTGCATGACATTTTTAGTCATACAATGATAAAATTAAGTGATAATTTTGATCTAAAATTTTTGATTTTTTTTTTTTGCTGCAACAAAAGAAGAATGAAATATTTTTGATAAATTAAAATCTCAAATATCATTTATTAATTAATCTCAGTTTAGGTTGGTCTGAACAGATGTTCATCATTACGAACGGATGAGGTGACAGTTGGTGAAAATCAGCTTTCTGAAGTTCGTTCAATCACAGAAATTTATCAATGCGCAGAGATGGCTTTTGGTGAGGGAGATGGATTGTCACAATCGACACTTGAAGGTACTTTTAAATTGATAACACTTGATAAAAATTGGTACCATTTGTTAAAAATTGTTATCACTAGATGCATCCTTATAGTAGCAAATAAAACAAGTACATAAAACATTGGGAATGATTTAATTTTAAAAAGAAATTTTTTATCATTCTAAAAAAATTTCGTTTTGGATTTAAAAGTAATTTGAATTCAACAAAAAAAAAATTTTATATCCTTCTAAAAAAATTTTTGCGTCGAATTTTCTCCAGTGAAAAATATTGAATCAAATTTGAAATTTTGCATCAGTTGAAGGTTTAAAAAAATTTTTCAACAATTAAATTTCATGCGATTAAATTTTTTTTTAAATTTAGTGTAAAATTTAATCTGGCATTATTTAACAATATTTCAGGAGTATCATATACGCCCAATTATCATAATTCAGATCCTGTAATTGAGCGTTTAATTCGTTGTGTTGGTAAAATACGCGGTATTGGCATGCGTAAACTTACAGAGCAAGAATTTGGTTGATAATTTTTTATTCGAAATAAGAAAAAAGCTCTTTGTTCAATTTTCTATTTCCAATAAAAATTTCCAATTTCATTGACAAAATTCAAATTCGTTGTTTATTAATTAAAAGAATTAGCATTACGTCAACTAATTAAGTAATTAATTTGAAAATTAATTGCTTAATTAAACTAATTAGCTAACTAATTTATTTAACAAATTTATTGCTAAAAAAAAACAACAATAATGAATAAACAACAGTAGGATTTCTTTTTTCTAACAATTAGCATCTAATAATTAGTACTTTAACTTATCCTATATTTGATAAATTAATACTTTTTTAAACAAATATCATGAACAAAAAATATGCATGTTTCGTCTTTTTTTTTCTTTTTTTAATATTTAATAAAATAAAACTTCAGGTCGATGGCGTCGTTTGGTGACAAGTAATGTGACATTTCGTGAATCACTTATAAATGCACACGATAGTAAACAAATTGAAGAGATTTGTTTGGGATCAAATTATAAGAAATTATTTGCAAAAGAGAAATGGACTGCTATAATACGTTGTATTATTGAACAACAACAATGCAATATGTCAACAAGAAATTCTCTTAAAGGAAATAATTCACAACAACAAGTTTGTTAAATTTTATTCATATAAATTTAATAATTTAATAAAAAAATATAAAAAAATAAAATATAAATTTAACAATTAAACTTAATAATCCAATTTAATTTAATTTTTTTTCTTTAATCATTCTTTTTTACAACATTTTTTCGCCGTTTTTCCAAATTTTAACAAGAAAAAAAACAAACAAATATATTGACAAAGTTATTTTCAGAAATAATTTTGTCGAAAAGTTATAAAATAATAATTATGCATAGATATTATTAATTAATTCGTTTCCAAATAATATATTTTAAACAAATTTTCAATATTATCGATTAATTAATTGTTAAATAATGCATTTTAAAAAAAGTTTAAGAAAAAATATTTAATGATACTTGTACCGTTTCATATATAAGAAAATTATATGATAAAAAAAATTCTTTGTTTGTTCATAATTGTATTCCATTGAGGAATTTAAAAAGACTGCGACAATAATTTCAATTATTAAATTGACAAGACATTGTGATGTCAACTTTTTTTTCAAATCTTAAAAATCGAATTTGCGAGAATATCGTTTTCTATGTATTATATACATGATCATAATTTTGTTGTAGTAATATGGTAGCACCTGGCTTATTTTGTCATAATTTATATTCGTGTCATCTGGATTAATTAACATCACTTCATTATAATCTTCTAAATGATCAATTCGGCATAAATTCATTCATACCAAAAGATGCCAATATTATGATATTGCTAAAGTTAACAATGATGATACTAATAATTAACTGATAAAAGATCATTTGTGATAGTGTATTGATAGCAATTTTTTCTATCACTGGTTACTTCAATTATAAAATGCAAGCAAACATAAGCATTGATAAGGATGAGAAATATAGTCATTAAATATTATCAGTTAATTGTCTCTTCCTAATATAAAATTGGAAGAAAACGGCTTTTTTTTTTTGAAATTTTATTCTAAAAAATTTTTCAAATGCAATTTTATCGAAAAAAACCCGAAGAAATCGCTTTTTTTAAAAAAAAATTTTAATATGCAAATTTATTTGGTTTGTTATTTTTATTACTAACCCCGTTATATTCATACATAATTAGCAATATTATTTTGTATTTCTTAATTAATCCGTTTTTTTTTGCAATTTGTTTTCTTACTTTTTCAATTTTCTTCTCATTTACAACAATGAAAATGTTGGATTTAATTTCCAAATATTAATTTGATGTGAACCAATTAATCCATTCAATTTCTCCACACCTTCCCAATAATGGTAATATTATTTTAAATTTCAAAAATTAAAAAATAACATTCGTTTTGACGCAATAATTGAAACAATTATGAAATGTTTTTGATAAATGGAAGTCAAAAAAAAGGAAAGTTAGCACCAAATAGTAATAATAAATTGATAAAAGTTTATTTTAAAAATTCATTAATCAAATTATTATCAAAAATTAGGTTATAAAAATTTTTCCAAAATTAATTACATACTGTTATTTTGTATTTTTCCTTTTCATTTTAACAAAAAGAATAATAATAATAATATTTGTTTAATATTTCTTTTTACAGGATTTGGTTTCATCATCATTAAATGTATACATTGGTGATGTTGGTTCCACTGATTGGTAGCATTCATGATCATCTCCGGTTTTGATTTAATTTCATGCTAGTATTAATTTTCCTGTTCTGTTCTGTTGCTATCCGGCTAATTTGATACTAGTGGCTTATAATTTCAGTTATCAATTGTTATCATGTTTATGATCTGCATATGGCTTGTATTTTCACTTATCAGCTATTATCACATTATCAAAGTCTATATGTATAGTTTTATGTACTTATTCATTTATTTCATGCTTTTGATAAGGATAAATGTTGTAAATTTTAAAAAACTTCTCAAAAACTTATCTTTTAGCATAGTAATACTTCATATGATAAATGTGCTTCTTTCATAAGTTTATAATTTTTTTTTTTAAATTTAAAGTCAAACAGGGAAGTAAAATAGTTGGAGTCAATTATTATTTTTTTGATGGAAGCTTTTATCATTACTCGAAATGTTGTCTTATCATTAACATATCATTTATAAGTTGGGGTTGAAGGTATATTTTATTAATTAGTTAAATTTTACTTCGTATTTGTTTATGATAGCATTTGATCAGTTGATGTGATAGCTATTGCTTGAGTAGAATGATTGTCATGCATTTGACATGTAAGTCCAACATGCAATTAACTTGAGCTTAATTAATTTAGTATTGCAATAAATTAGTGATGAATCAGTCAAATTATTAGCTTCTTCTCGTTTCGTATGCTAATTAACAAACAAAAAGACAAAAAGGGAGAAAAAAACTCCATTAGTTATTTGTTTCAAATTAGTTTTTTGCTTATAATTTTTCTAACTAAAAATGTATTAATCTATAATCAATAATTCAATAATCTTTATATGATATTTAAATTAAATAAATTTTTATGCAAATGAAGTATTGCTATATATTAATTACATCATACTACTAATATATTGTTTCGTTACAAAATATGGTCTCATATTTTGCTTTATATTATAATACTTTATTGATTGATTGCTGTTTTGGTTGATTTGAGAAAATTGTTCAACGATTAAAAAGTGAGTTTTGGATTTTAATACTTCAATTTCACTTTTCATTGCCTTATCATATTTTGTATTAATCAAATTGCATTTTTCTTTTCCTGCCCCTTGAATTGTTCTATCTTTTTTTTTTCTTTTTTTTGCAAAATTTATCGATTATTTTATTTAACTTTAATATTTAAAGTTTTTTGTCCATGTTCATTAGATGTAAAATGTGTGGAATTTGTGGAGTAAGTTAGCTAATTACAATTACCAATTGTAATGTAATAGTCAAATGAAATAGCAATGGATAAAAAGTAAAATGTACAAAAATTATTTCATATTTATTTGTTTAGGTAAATTAAAATGATTTTGCATAATTTTTCAACTTTCATTTATTATAGATCAATAAAAATTAAAGTTCAAAGGTCAAAAATAATAATTGAAAGAAGAAGGACAAATTTTGGTTTTAATCTAAACTGAGATTGAATAAGTTAATGCTATGAATGGTTGCAGCTAATGAGCCTATTCATGAATTGGCAATAATGAGCCTAGAATCTTTTTTCTATCGATTTGCATCCAGAAAGCGAGCCTATTCATGCATTGATAATAATAGGCCAAAAATTTGATGATTTGTATTTTCCTCAAATAGAAAGCCTCAATGATATTATCATTTTTCCAAAAATTTTGTCATAAATTTTAGGAATTTAAAAGAAAAAAAGGAGACACTCTTTTTATATTTTATTATTCATAAATTTAAATATTTCAATCATCATTAACAAGTATTCAAGTAATCAAATTCATTCATCAATTTAGGTTTGTTTGTGTTATTTAAATATTTGTGTATAATTCATTCATTTCTGCGCTACTTTCTACATTTATATGTATGTGAAGTATTACTGTTAATAAACATTTTATAGTTATTGTAAATTTTTTTTAATGGAATATAAAATCGATATATATATATATATATATATATATATATATATATATATATATATAT